ACGTCTTGAAAGCTAGGAAGCGTTGAAGCGCGAGTTGACGGTACTGAGTGTCCTTCATCCCATCGCTCGCCCGACGGGTGTGTGACATGACAGTGACGCACTTCAAAACCACGGTCTCGGAAGAAGGGTACTGGGCCGTTGCCACAGCGTTGCTCAACTCGAGCGTTACGGGCACCAGATAAAAAGTCGGTCGTGTGCCAGACATGGTGATACAGGGAATCGTCATGGATGGTAGAGGCTCGCAGCCCAAACTTTCGCGTTTTCTATTGTTAAATTGAAACGCGGCAATGGCTTCTGCGATGACCTGCGACTGTGCATCGCCGGGGTTGGATAGAATCTTATCCTCAACCAAGACGAGGAGTACGAGGGTTCGACGATGCAGGAGGCATACGTCCGTCTTTGGGTCTCGCCGCAGATGGTGAGGGGGATGATATACCGAGTAGAAAGTATGAGATTGCGCTCCGAAAAACCGAGAAGGTGAAGGGTTTCTCTGGCGAAATCGTCGATGAGACTCTCCTGCGTCGCGTTGGCAGCGAGATCGAGGTAGCCAAGGTATCGGGCGGTAGAATCAGATAAATCTGGATCTTCAGCGCCAGCAGGAGCAGTGAGAATCTTGGGGTCCAAATCGACCAGCGACGGATTGGCCCCGGGGCCAAAAAACGCCTCTGGCTGAATCGCCTTGACGCTAATATGATATGCAAGTAACTCGTTAACGGACCAGTCGCTCGCAGACTTGGAAGAACGGATCAGGTTGGCCATGCGAAGATCTAGCACGTCAACAAGTCAGTGGGTAGTGGTGGATGTCGGGAGTGGGCGATGTGGAGAGACGGTGACACCGTCACACGTTGGTCACATGTCAGTAAGCCCAAGCACGTGACCCAAGACAACATCAGCTTGTTGGGGCTGCGCCCCAAACCCCGGTGGATTCTCAGTTCGCCAACGCACGGCGGATTCCGAGTCCCGGGGTTCGGCGTGCACGGGTAGGACCCCCGATTATCCCTATGGAGGTCGGATCCGAAATTCGGGCTATATTTTTTTCTTGTCCGAACTTTTGTCTGACCTGTGCCCAGAAGTTTTGTCCGAATTCCGGATCTGACCTGGGTCAGACCGAAATTTTGTCCGAACTTTAGACCAACTTCATTTTTGCTCTGGGGCCCTTGAATATTGCTCAAAAAATCCAAAAAAAATCTATTCTGCTACTCCATCATCCTCAGCTACTTCTACAATGTCAATATTGGCCTTGCCTTTGTGCACCATGTTGAAGCTTGCAATATGACCAGTAAATAACTTCATGCCATTGAGATCGTCCTCCAAGGGAACAATTGCAAGAAATGAACTTGATGGTAGATGTGCAACCCGAATGGTTCCTAATGCGGAATCGCGGGAGTGCGCACTCATTAATCGTCGCCGATAAGATGTCTGAACCAGCAAGTATGAGGAAATGCCGATGTTCTCACAACATTTTTCGAGTACATAGTTATAACTTGTGAATTATTTTAATTTATGTTCAAGACAGGCGGTAGGAAGACTTACGAATATACTTCATTTGGAAAGTTGCATTTTCATTGTGCATGCGAGGCGGCGAGGCCACCATCAATTATCCGAACACGGATCCGACCCCAGCAACGCTCCCGACCCATTGTCCGAACTCTTGACCCGACCTGTCTGTAGGGGCCATATAGTACAATTTTCCCTTTTCTGGATACTCTTCAACTAACCTCTATGTACTTGTATTTTTCCATTTCTCTCGACGCGTAGGGTCACATGCTCCATTATGTAATCATGTAGATATGCCTTTGTACGTCGAGATCAATATCATCATCCTCCATACATTAACCATCCAACGACCTAACGTTCATTGTCCTGCCCTCTTAACGGCAGCGGTGCACTGGGCCTGCGGGTGTTCTTAAGTGTATCGGTTCTCAGTCTTCTCAAGCGTATTTCAGCGAGCAAGACTCTCAAACGTCTGCCTGCAGTAATTATCTTATCTGCTGCCATCCGCTATACATCTGCACTTGATCCGTTTCATAGAGCTTCAGAGCTCTATCTAGCATTCTCCTAGCCTCCGAGCTAGTCGTGGATCGAAGCCATAGTAGATAATCTCATTGGCTTGCTGCGAGACTAGATCAGCACTTGGACACAGATTTCTGGTCCAAGGAGTCTCCAGCTTTATCGATATCGACTCTCTCGGGGACTTGGAGGCTTATCCAAGTCCCCACAACACCATTATAACTCCCGAGTACTCGCCAGGGTCATACGACGTGCATCCCACAATAAATATTTGTAACCTGCACTCGAAGGTCGTTACACTGTCGGGTCCAAAAGTGGATTTGTCCGAATTTTGGCTCCGACCTTGGCCAGGCCGATTCAGAATTTTGTCCAAACTTTGGATCCGACCTTTATAGGGATAATCGGGGGTCCTGCACGGGTGGATTCCGAGTCCCGTGATTTTCCATGTGACTTTATCAGGTGACTTTTTGTGTGGCAGTGTTCGTTGTCTCTTAATATATAGGATAAATAATTTGTCTGATTCACCATAGATTATCCATCTTGTTTGAAAGCGGGATAGGTTCAGCACTCTCAATGTCTCAAAGGGATTTGGGAGACATGAATTTCCTGGGAAAAAACTGAAGGCTGCGATGTTTCCTTTATGTAACCCCGGGCCGGTTGTTAGACTCACTGCGGATGCCCAAAAATGTCTGGGCCCAGACATGTCCATGCACAAGAGCTGCTCGGACCTGTCCGGAAAGCCCGAGCACGTTCAAATTTTAGACAGGACACAAATCGGGAGTCCGGACAGGCTCCCGATCACTTCATATTCCCGAGTATGAATCCGGGCCCGGACAGGTGTCTGAATCTCAAAAGAGGTGCAATTCCCTGGAACTCTGGACAGGTGTGAAGACGAACCAACTGCGAACTGATCCGGCCCGGACATCTTTGGGTATCCGCAGTGATTGAACGAAACGATAAAAACTTCTGACCGCACAAGTCATCTATGCCCTTCGGAGGAGTCGAACCTCCGTCTTCCCTACACTTGCTGTGTTTTTTCATGAGAGCCAGGGATGATCGATCTACTAGGGCTTTATCATCGATGTTCAAGGCCCAATAGGTTTGTGTGGGCCCAGGAACTCAAAGGAAGTGTCTGTACAAGTTAATCACTGGCAGTGAACGTACTTCCTCTTGGAAGAATAAATAAAAAACTTTCCTCGTCAAAATGACACTGGAGGGAATTGAACCCACGTTGAAAGACAGAACAGCGGCGCACTTCTAATAACTTATTTCACCTAGCCACTTGGCCACACTGTCCATACGATTGGATGGGAATTTATTCTCTGCAATGAGTCAGAGAACTGGTTGGAGAAAAACCAGATGATTCAAAAACTTCAGTATGGTTGTATGGACTTGTTAACTTGTATCTCGCCACTGCATGGTCAAAAAAAAATGGAAAATAAGTAGGCTTCTGCGTTGCGAGGATTCGAACATCCGTCTCCGCTTCAATTAATCAACGCAACAGCTTGACTGAGTTGATCTACCGGATTCCTTGGCTTGCTTTAAGGCAGCATGAATTCCGCATACTGGACACGAACTTTTGGGATTGAAGTAGGGTCCGTGGATCAGTTTGAATTTATTTATTGCCTGGTGTTACGGTAGAACGTGGCGTTGCTGCAGGGCATCGGAGAGAAATTTTAGTAGAAAAAATCATATACATAGATAGATAGATACAAGGCAAGATAAGTTTAGAACTTTGCAGAACTGACATGTGAATTAAAGGTTGTGGTCTTTAACTTTATTGGTTGGTGTAGAATTGAAGAATTGGCACGGCCACGGTGACTGAAGTGCAGACTGAAGTGCTAGAGGGAGAGATACAAAAAATCTCGAAGGGGTCTACCATAAGCCCCAGGAAGGATTCGAACCTCTGCCTTCCATTGCATTGATGCATAACTGGAGAGGGTTAACATCTGTGTTGATATATGAAGGCTTGTTGCAAAGTAGGATTAGATAGAAGGAGTACTCTGGTGTGTTGTATGATTATAACAGATTATGTTGGAACTAGAAAGGCTGTGACCCTGAAATCTGTAAAAACCCAATCATTGACTGCCGTCCAAAGGATCCATCACCGTTGTGGTGTATCAAGCACTCCTGATAAAAAATATGGTTTAATAACGGAAGGGAGGATTCGAACCTCCGGCTTTCCTGCACTTTTCCATCTTGCAACTACAGAGGGATGATCTACCTGAATCTACTGACACTTCCTCAGTTGATTTCAAAGCAGTACTAAGTATGTATGTTGAGTACTGTTGGTCCAGTGTTACAAGATTATGATAGAATTTTGAAGAGTGGGAGAGTAAAAACCCAATTCATCAACTGCTGTCTTGCAAAAGTAACCCGCCGCCGTGGTGGTGTATCAAGCACTTGATAAAAAAAAGTAAATATATGTGAGCACCCCAGGGAGGATTTGAACCTCCGGCTTCCCTGCACTTTTCCATTGCAATGGTATAACTGAGAGGGATGATCTATATTGATCTACTGGGGTTCTACACCTTTGTTTTCAGGTAGGGTAGTTTGAGTGCTCTTGGTGCAGTGTTACAAGATTATGTATGATAGGAATTTGAAGAGTGAAAGAGTAAAAATTCAATTCATCGACTGCCATCTGGCAAAAGGAACCCGTCACCTCGGTGGTGTATCACTTGACAAAAAAAATGAGAGAGCTGTTGATTATAATTGCCGCAGGGAGGATTAGAACCTCCGACTTCCCTGCACCTTAGTTTGCATTGAATAACTGAGAGGGATGATCTGCATTGATCTACTAGGGTTCTATCCCCTTGTTGTAAGATAGGGTAGGTTTAGTACTCTTGGTGCAGTATACAGAACATGTTGATGAGATATTGAAGAGTGAAAGAGTAGAAAGTCAATTTGTTGGCTGCCATCTGGAAAAAAGAACCCGCCACCTTGGCGGTGTATCAAGTGCTCAACGAAAAGGAGACTAATATGACTGCCAGTGCCCCAGGGAGAGTTCGAACCTCCGGCTTCCCTCAAGTTTGACAATTTCTTCCGTAATTGAAAGGGATGATCTGCCTTGATCCACTGGGGCTTCTTCACCTAATTTGAAAGCATGTGGCACTAAGTGTGTCGAGTACTATATGTGCCATGTTACAAGATTATGATAGTGTATTGAAGAGTGAAATCCGTAAAAATTCAATCCATTGACCACCAGGGAGGATTCGAACCTCTGGCTTCCCTTTGCATTTCGTGATTTTCTTCGAACTCTGTAACTAGAGGGGGATGATCTGCATTCATCTACTGGGGTTCTATCCCCTTGCTGCAAGGTAAGGTAGGTTGAGTACTTTTGGTGCTGTGTATTTTTTGATAGCATGTTGAACAGTGAGAGAGTCAAAATTTACTTCATTGACTGTCAATGACTGCCATCGAAAGGAATCCGCCGCCGTGAACCGCTCGACAAAAAAGAGAAGGTTAACCTACGAGTGCCCCAGGCAGGATTCAAACCTCCGGCTTCCCTGCACCTTTCCTACATAGTAACATGTAACTGGAGCGGGATGATCTGCATTAATCCACTTTTCAAAGCAGCACTAAGTGTGTTGAGTACCCTGCTACAAGATGAAAGGATCTTAAAGAGTGAAAGAGTAGAAAGTCAATTCATTGGCAGCCATCTGGCAAAAGGAACCCGTCACCGTGGCATGTATCAAGTGCTTGACAAAAAAGGTGACCTTTTTTGCCTGCAAATGCCCCAGGGAGGATTCGAACCTCCGGCTTCCCTACACCTTTGATTGTATCGAAAATAACTGGGGAGGTATGATCTGCATTGATCTACCAGGGCTTCCTCACCCAATTTCAAAGTAGCACTAAGTATATTGAGTACTCTGCTACAAGATTTTGATAGGAGCTTGAAGAGTGAAAGAGTAAAATTCAATGCCCTTTGACAAAAGGACACCGCCACCTTGGCACGCGGTGTATCAGGCTCTAGACAAAAAGGGATTGAAAATCAAATGAGGATTCGAACCTCCAGCTTCCCTGCACTATTTTATGTCACCATTAACTGGAGAGGGATGATCTGCATTGATCTACTGGGGCCAATTTCAAAGTAGCACTAAGTATGCCAAGTACCCTGTTACAAGATTATGAAAGGATCTTGAAGAGTGAAAGAGTCAAAAATCAATTCATGGACACCACCGTGGTGGTGTATCAACACATGACAAAAAACATGGTTCAATAACGGGAAGTGCCCCAGGGAGGATTCAAACCTCCAGTTTCCCTTTCCATTTATACAAAACCAGTAACTGGAGAGGGATGATCTGCATTGATCTACTGGGGCCTCCTCATCCTTCTTCCAAGACAGGGTAGGTTGTGTACTCTGGGTGTGGTGTTACAAGATTATGTATGATAGGAATTTGAAGATTGAAAGAGTGAAAATTCAATTCATTGGCTAGTGTCTGGCAAAAGGAATATACCATATACCATTTTGGTGGTGGTATCAAGCACCTGATAAAAAAAAGTAAATATATGTGAGTGCCCCACGGAGGATTCGAACCTCCGGCTTCCCTGCACCTTTCCATCGCTTAACTGGAAAGGGATGATCTGCCTTGATCTACCTGGGTTCTACACCTTTGTTTCAAGACAGGGTAGGTTGAGTACTTTTGGTGTGGTGTACAGAACATGTTGATAAGATATTGAAGAGTGAAACGGTAAAAAATCAATTCATTGATCCACATTGGCAGGCCTGTATAACTTTGTATAAATTATACAAAGTAGAAAAGGTACTATATGTGTAGCAGCCTTATCTTTGGGCTTAACAATAATTCAATTTTTATAGTTTTAATCATACAAAACAAGTCCTACAGAAAATCTAACTATAAAGCTTCTCATTCTACTGATTTTCCAACACAATCTGGCAACAGGAACCTGCCACCTTGGCGGTGTATCAAGCACTTGACAAAAAAAGGTGATGTTCTTTTTCTTGACTGCCAGTGCCCCAGGGAGGATTCGAACCTCTGGCTTCCCTGCACCTTTCCTACAATCTTGTAACTGAGAAGGATGATCTTCTTTGATCTACTGGGGCTTCCTCACCTAATTTCAAATCAAGTACCCTGCTACAAGATTATGGTAGAACTTTGAAGAGTGAAAGAGTATAAATGCAATTCATTGACTGCTGTCTGGCAGAAGGAACCCGCCACCTTGGTGGTGTATCAAGCACTTGACAAAAAAGGTGACCTTTTTTGCCCAGGGAGGATTCGAGCCTCCGGCTTCCCTAAACCTCAATACTCTAATCATATAATGAAGAGGAATGATCTGCCTTGATCTACTGAGGCTTCCTCATTTAATTTCAAAGCAGCACTAAGTACAGTCGCAAACTAGGAAGCGAAACATGACGTAGAAGCGAAACACTATGCTTTTTGGCCAATGAGCCCGATGTTTTTGGAGAGAAGTCTTCTCATTCAGAAGTGTTTGTTCACAAAAGGAATTGCCTAAAGGCCTCCTACAGATCTTGTATTATTCAACTGTTCTCGGACTGTCTATTTGCAGTATTTTCCAGTGCTTGTACCGTTCAATGTTTTGTGTGTTTTGTCTGAACATATGGACTGCGAGGGGTCAATTAGGTGTTTTCAGGTCTTGGAACATAGATATGGATATATAGGATCCTCAAGTCTGGTGGCAGAGGTGTGCCGGATTGTTTTGAAGTGTTTCGCTTCCATGTTATTTTGCACTTTTCGAGTTCTGCGAAAGATCCTCCTCGGTCTCCATGACCACGAAGCCAAACTGCATGGTTCCTTGACTTGTCGGAAGGCCAGGATGACCCTCTGTCTTCCTGCAACAAAAAATGATCTCATAGGAGCACTGCGGCATCAGCAATTAGGGGTGCAATCTGAGCGTTTCGCTTCCTAGTTTATGACTGTATGTATGTTGAGTGCTCTTGGCACGGTGTTACAAGATTATGTATGCCAATGGCATGTTGAAGAATGAAAGAGTAAAAATTGAATTCATTGACTGCCCTCCAAAGGAACCCGCCACTGGCGGTGTATCAATCGCTCGACCAAAAAGATAAAGTTATTTGGCCAGTGCCTCAACGAGGATTCGAAGTTCCTCCGGCTTCCCTGCACCTTTCCGCTGTAATTGCCTAACTGGAGAGGGATGATCTGCTTTTGTCTACTGAGGTTCTACACCCATGTTGCAAGACAGGGTAGGTTGAGCACTCTTTGGGCTCATTGATTTGCTTGATGTGTCTAGACCAGCCAGAGGATACAATCTTTGGATTCAAAGTTCAAGAACATGTGATCGCGAACCGTGGGACGAAGGCACACATAACGTTGTCTGGGTGATGCTGGTCTGTGCTTCTGCCTTCGCCACCACTCTCGTCTGAAAGCCTCGCCTCGGGGCCCGCTGCAGGTCGTTGTTTGGGACACTTGGAAGTGCTATTGGAGGCTTGTATTGTCTTGGAAGTTGGGACACCGACCAGGAACAGGACAAGGAGCCGAAAGACATCTGGATTCTGGCTCAAGTCACTACACGCTGCAAGACTACTGTACCATTTCGACCAAGTCTTCAGGTGACACGTGACGCGGCTCTCTGAACTGAAGACTTTTGGTCGTGGTGACGGTGACATTGAACTTTTTCGGCCCAAATAGGCTTAAAAACCGTCAAAAAGTCTTGCCGGCATCTGCTGGCCTTCCGTTCAAGGCAATTTTTGATCGTATTAGTCAGAATGAAGACCTTAGGTGACGCGTGACATGGGCTGAAGACTTGGTCGAAATAGTACAGTAACCCTACTGTCAGTAAGGCTCTCCATTCTCACTCGAAGCATTCCGGTGGCTGAAAGGCTCAATCGGCATCATCAGGCCGTCGTTCATTACTGGACAGATTCACGCTTGTCCTTGTCTAAAACAAAGGCTCCTGTAACCGCTATACAGGGACATACAAATCTCGTGCAAGGTCGGTCGCGAGGTGCTTGCACGTTCGTTTCGCAGGGGCTAAATGTCTTCAACACGTTCCAGGAGAAGCGATCGCACACACAATAAACACCATCATGGAGACCTGGTATGTATGGTTCTTGACGGTTCCTATGAGTTTCCTATGTAGATGAATGCTAACGGCTCACACGAGCACTCGGCGGGGTCGCGGATCTATTTTTATACCTACTATGAAGGAAAATCACCTGACCGTGTCATAGCACTGCTGACTCAGCGAGCGATTTTCTTTGCTGTGGTCAACCCTTGGGTCAACCGACTCAACGACGCCGATTCAACGGTACTTACTGGCGATGGCAGACTCGCGTACGTACCCGTAAGTCTCAATTCACGTTACTTGCATTGTCCTTCGCTTAACACTGCTCAGATTTAGTACCCCGTACACGGCGGTTCTGCATACAAACTTCGTGCCTCTTGAGGCTGAATGTCTCCGCATTCGGGATCTCGTTGTCGCGCCGATTGTGGAGCTCGAAAAAACGACTCAAGAAATCGCGCACTTGAAGGCGAAGCTCGAACAGCTTGCCAGCAAACAAGTGGAATTGACCGAATTCATTGATGCGCACCTTGCGCTTGTCTCTGGCGCTCGTAGACTTCCCGACGATATCCTGCGGGAAATCTTCATAGCCTCCTCGGATGGAAATGCGATAATCAGCCCCGCAGAGGCACCGATGTTGATCACCCACATATGCAGCGAGTGGCGAAGTTTAGCGCTTTCGATGCCCCGGCTTTGGGCATCATTGGATATCAAGGTCCTGCGTCGTTTTCGTCGATCGGGGACTGCGACAAACCGCGAAGATGCAGTTAACTGCTGGTTGGCCAGATCGGGTGATCTCCCTCTTTCAATTTCCTATGAAGCGAATGAAAAAATGTCCATCTCTTCGCCGATATTCGAGGTCTTCATGGACTATTCCCACCGCTGGAAACATATACGATTCATACTTCAAACCATCGAGTCCTACGAACCACTCCAAGACCTTACCCCGGAAGAAGTACCAATTCTGGAGACCGTTGTCATGAGTCCGACTGACCATGGTGGCATCGATGCTGAGGTGGCCGCGAATCACCTCGCCTTCCTTCGAACCAGCAGCATTCGTCGCGTGTCCCTGAGGATCTCTCCCAGTACATCATCTGCTCTCTGGGCTGTAATTGCCTGGGACAATTTACGCGATCTATATCTCCATTGTCATCTTTCCTACATGCAGGCTCTCGACCTGTCGCGGCAGTGCCGGAATCTGGAGATATGGGTTGCGTGCATATCCGATAATGACGCAGAAGTTTCGCTGAATCGGGACCCAATTCATATGGAACCCCTGCGACAACTATGCCTCGTGGATGGTACCGGGAATGGCGGTACTCGGTTCCTTGATCACGCTGTTCTGCCCAATCTTCAATGTCTCGAATACAGCAAAGAACGGGGTCATGTGGATACAAAACGGGTGCTGGGTTCCCTCCTCGCTTCGGAGAAGCTCACGCATCTGGGCCTCAGCGCCCAGATTTCGGCGGACGACCTCGCCGAAAACCTACGCCTTTTCCCGGCACTGGAAAGTTTGATTCTACACCGGCCCCGCACCTCTCTCCAAAATAACAATGTGTTCAGTTGCGAAGTATTCGCATTGCTTACCCCGCCATCGCCGAACTCTACTGCGACCTTGTGCCCCCAACTTCGAGAAATTCGCATCCTCGGACTCAATGCAGGCTCCGACGAAGAGCTCGTCGCCTTGATCCAGGGGCGGTGCCCCGAGGCAGCTGAGCTCCACTCCCTTTCTAAAGTAGATATCGCCTTCCCGCGTAAGCAGATGGACATCATGGGAGAGCTCGCTGTCCTTGGCGCGAGGGTCGACATGACCCTACGTTACACCACGGATGAACAATTGCATTTCATCGGAAGCAAGCGCTTCAGGGTGTTGCAGCCACATTCCCTCATGTCCACAATTGGCCGAGCAATGCAACGCCGGAGGGAGCAGCAGGCCAAAGCCGAACGTCATCCCGACAATGACTGGGGCCCGATCTCCCGTCGGTGGGTGGCGGACTATGCACAGTGGGGTCCCGATCTGACGAGGTAAAATCATCAATTCAAGTACCAAGCATGACGTTGACATCCAGAACGCAGACGCATTGACCCTGCGAGCCACGTCGACGACTCGGAATACAGCGATTCGGACTCCAGCGAGGGTAGCTGACAATCATCAGTGGTGTTGTGCGCCTCCGATACGGATGAAAATTTGACTCCAATTTTCGATATGTATTTACAAAAGTACGGGCGGTGTGGATCCGGAGTAGGTAAGTTGGTACCACTATAGATCCAGTAGCAAGCAGTATGAGCAGAAAAAGGTCGTCGCAGGTCGTAATCGGT